ATTAAACTTAGACATAACCATTAAATACAGACCACTAGAAGACTCTTTCCGTTCAGACTTTAACTCTAACTCTTTAGTTCTTAGAGCATTAATGATAATCTCTGTAGTTAGAGTGTCTCTACCATATTCAATAGCGTTTTTAACATCTTTGTATTTATCACCTATTGAATTTAATAGAATCACAGCCAACTGTCCACTTGAGAGTTTCTCATCACAATTGGCTAGATCGCGGGTACTGTTGAATCTATCAAGTTAGATTCAAGGTCAAGAGATGGATCAAGTTTAAAACCAAAAAACTGTTTTAGAAGGTAGACTTTATTTGACATATTTTTATTCAAATAAGTAGCCTCCAATTTCTTCCATAATTCAGCAGCAATTTTTGTTTCTCCTACTTCTCTAAGCACATTATCAGAAAAGTGCAGAAAAATAGAACTCCATACAATTTCATCTTGTTCAGTAACTTTACTAGTTTCCATATCAGTAGCCCATGATCCATCAATGGCTTTTGAACACTTTTGTTGAAGTAAAAAAACTTTCATTTTCTGGCGCCAGAGATTAAAGTCTCATTTGCCATTGAAAGCTTCCAATTCAAATTTTGAAGAAGGTATAATGAAAAGTTTGAATGTATGACTAATGAATGCAGATCAGGCAGAACATACCAAGAGTATACACAGTAAGTAATAATTCAATCAACACTCAAGAGACATAAAATGAATTATACAGTCAGCAGAATGTATATACTATAAGTGTGTTTGGGACATATTCTTTTGAAAGAATGTATTATTGAATAGTAGATTGATGGAGAATGTGTGGTTAAAAATGAAGGAAAAGTTATTGATGTGATGAAAAATATTATTTTATTGAATAATGTGTGGTTGAAGATGAGTAACAGAATGAGAATGAAAAATATAATTTGTACCAAACAGAGCCTATATACAGTGATTCACAGATTCAATTTTCAGGCAAGAACATTCAACTACTCTTGTAACAACTTACAAGATATAGCACAGATCATCACAGTTGCAATATACAAAATTAAAGAACACATGCAGAGTTTTTGAATTGAGGTTCTTGACTCGAAACAAAACAACCCTCAGATTCCAGGCAACTCAAGGGTTTCTGGACAAAGGTATTACCAAGTAGAGTCTCATACCCAGTTTAAAAACGTTTTTGCAAATCAGAATTAAAGTATAAGCAACAAATAAGTGCATTCAGTAGTAAACCGAAACGAACTCACCAAAAGCCCTATATTAGGGTTTCAAGAAATAAAAGCAGTAAACGAATCAAGCGAATCAGTTTAATGCCTGCACAGATCGAGAGCCAAGAACCACGGCCTGCAGCTCTGATACCACTGTAGAGATCGGATAGCACTTATTAGCAACTTCAAACCAACAACAACAAAAATAAATGTGTAAGAAAGATAAAAACAGTAAAAAGAATACAAGGAATTTTCGCTCTAAGGCAAGATGTTCGGAATAAATCTGAATCCCCATTTGAGCTTCCGCCAACCGGAAGAGATCACTATATTAACTAAGAATCAAAATCCGTTCAAAGTTACACCAATGCACTCAGCAAGAATCACTCAAGATATCTTTATAGGAATGAAACCCTCACTAATCGAAAAAGGAATCCACACAAGGATACAAAATCAGCTCACTACAAATCACTCAAGAGATGTACTCAAGCTATACAACAATCGATTTACAAGAGATTTCAATTTTAGAGTGCAAAACAGAAAAACAGCGCAAACAAAGAGTTCGAGAGACTGAACAGTCGAGAGAATGAGAGATTAAGCGTACAAAAGTTCAACTCTAGACTTTAAGAGAAGTCTCCAGAGTAGTCACCATCCAATGGACATTGGGTCGACACTTGACGACATCTCCACTGTCCAGATATAAGTAAAACTCATCTAGCTAAAGTGCAAAACCAGAAACACGCTTTCTATTAAAACAGTCCAGCCCAACAGTCATCAATTAAGAACCAGATTCGGCCCAATTAATCAGCCAAGGCCCATCATCATTGTGCCAC